TCCCTTCCAACTCACAAGTTCCATGAGATTGTGACGGGAGAGGGGCAAGAAGAGGGAGATGTCTTCCCCCAGAGCCTCTTTATAATGTCACAAAGTGATCTTAACGCTAACCTTCATCTTAACCTTCTCTGCCTATGTGTAAGACCAGCCCTGGCAACCAATGTCATTTCTTCCAGTCATTACTCTGATGCCATCAACTCTTTTCTTCCTTCCTTTATTCTTTCCTTCCTTCCTTCCTTCCTTCCTTCCTTCCTTCCTTCCTTCCTCCTTCCTTCCTTCCTTGTCCCTTCCTTCCTTCCTTCTTCCTTCTTTCCTTCTTCCTTCTTTCTTTCTTCCTTTCTCCTTCCTTCTTTCCTTCCTTCTGAATGTATTCCTATTCTATGAAGTTAGAAGTACTGAGCTAAGCTCTAGGGAAATAAAGATACAAAACAAAGAGCAATCTCTCCCCTCGAGGAGATGACATTACACCATGTCCTGTGCTCTTGACATGACGCCACTCTGCCTCCCACTCCTAGCCACTCGTGCCTGTTGACTGATCACTTAGTCTCCTCTTCTGAACTCGCTTATAGGCTGCTTCCTAATATGGTTCCTCTCAGCCTGAAGATCTGCTGAGCCCTGGATGCCCTTTTAGTGGGGCTCCCTTCCTAAACAGACACCCCCGGAATCCCCACCCAGCCCTGGAGCTGATGGCAATCAGGAGGTTAGGGCACCACAGGGGCAGGTCACCACTTGTAGCCACTGTAAATATTTAACTCTCTCTTCTTAATTTACTTATGTCTGCGAATAATCATTTTGTCTCCATTAAGTGTTGTATGTTTTTATTTGTCTTCTGTCTAGTACTGCCTATTTTGCCTGTATAAATTCCCCCAGGGCTGGAGACACACCTCTGTAATTTACCCAGTATGGCACCCAACAGAAGGCTCTCCCCAGGTATCTGATACATATTCCTTGGTGATGATGGTGTCAACAGCTGCTGATTCTCCAGAAAGAAGACTGGGATGCACCAGCTATGACTATTAGCACCTGCCTCAAGGCCTAAGGGCCAAAGGAAACAGACCTATAGCAAGTGAGAAGTTTTAATTAAGATGGAAAATGCTGCCTCCAGTAATAACTCATATTTATACAGTGTTTTGAAAGGCACTTTCCTTACAGTAAGGTTGAGAGTTAGGTAATGTTCATATTATTAGACCCATTTTGTGTATGAATAAACTAAATCCCTGAGAGAATAAGAAATTTCCCCATGGGCACTTAGTTCAGAAGTTTCCCATGCTGGATTCAAACCCAGGTCTCTCCTGATGCTAAACACATTATCCCATTACACCAAGCTGTTTCCGTGGACATTGTCTGGCCACTGAAACCCATTGCTGCCTGGTATACAACCATGCAAAGGAAGGTGGGAAAGTCTGGGTAGAGTTGGTGGGCTCAGGGATTCTTCTGAACTGGCCTGCAATGATATGATGGCTGCTGGATTTTTCTTCCCCTCATTTTATTTTTCTCCAGGCAACTAATCTAATCTTCCTATACAGCGCTTCTCAAGCTCATTATCCCAAGAGTGATAAGCTGGAAATCTAAACAGATTCAAGACAAGCTTGGCTGAATTAATGAGAGACATCTATAATGCATTACTAGTGGGTGAAGAAAGCTGCTAGAAGTACTCCAAGATAAAGTAACTACTGAATCCTTGGATCAAATACCCTCTTGGCCATCTCATCAGGGAGGCAACTTCTGGCTGGAGGACCATTTGTCTGCCCTACTGCTAAATTCCTTTATAGGTTTAGTAATAAAAGATTCCTTAGATATCTTCAATTCAGAAAGTCTCATTTTCCAAATGAGGAAACTGAGGTCCAGAGACTTTAAGTGACTTGAACCAGTAGTAATAAGCACTTCTGAGAGACAGGCTTTAAACCCTTGTGCTCTGCCTACAACTTCCCAATGGAGACCATTAGACCCCACAGTTCTTATATACTCAGACTCTGTAGACACACATTTAGGAGATCAGCCCTACATTGATTTGTCACACTTTCCCTTGGGGTATTCAGTCCTTGGTAATCATATGTTTGCACATTTCTATTATATACTTCATGATGCAATCACTAGTAAGAAAATAAAGAGTTCAGAAAATCCTGAAGGTGCTTCAAGTACTGATAACTCATAAATTGGCAGCTAGGGGGCTCAGTGGGTAGAGGAATGGGCCTGTAGTCAGGAAGATCTGAGTTCAAATTTGACCTCAGACACTTACCCCCTGTCTGACCTTGAGCAAGTCACTTAACCTCTGTTTGTTTTAGTTTCCTCAACTATAAAATTGGTATGTTAACTGCACCTACCTCCTAGGGTTGTTGGGAGGATCAAATGAGATATTTGTGAAGTACTTAGCACAGTGCCTGGTACGTAGTAGGCACTATATAAATATTTATTCCCTTCCCTTTCTTCTTTTCCCTGGTGGAAAAATTACATTAAAAAGCAAATTCTGAACTTTGGATCCCTGAGTGAATTGAATTCCTAAGGAAACTTTCCAAGCAAGGAAGCTGTACTTGATTCCCCTGACACTAACAAGGAAATCATGACAATGAATATGAGAGAGCACCGTGAGTATGGGCCAAGGAGCTGAGTACAAAACAATCATTACCCACTTTCATTTATGGGTCCCTTTCTGCATCAATGGTTTGCCATCAATCAAATGGCCTCTCAGGTCCCTTCCAACTCTTAAATGCTGAGATGCTGTAGGTAGGTGATCTCTGAGGCTCCTTCTTTGTTCTAACATTCTGGATTCTATGGGAGTCAGTCTTCTGAATCTGTGCATTGAGATGGGCATGCCTGGAACTCTTCGCCTTCCCCATGCGTGGGAAGATTCCACGGCTGGAACCCTTTCTTTCTTCCCCTCAGCTTCCTGGTTTCCCTGGCACTTAGTAGGCATTTAATGGATGCTTTTGAATTGAGATGAATGTAGACTAGTGTCAGCCAAGGTATTAAGACAGAGCAGAAAAAAACAGTGGAGAAATATTGAATTAACTCCCAGAGATTTCTACAGGACTTTGGATAGCAGGCAAAGAGCAGACAAAGACAATACAAGACAAAATAGCAGATGAAATTGACCTTTCAGTTGCATGGAAACTACTTTTTTGTTCTTTATCAACGCCCTCTGGAATTTCCTTGGTAATCTCTCAGGAAAGAATAATGATCCATGAGGAAGTCCCTTTAACAAACATCACTTTTTATGTGCCACACATATGTGTAATGGAAGTGAGATTGGCCAGTAGGGGCCATCTCCATCATATAGAATGTGTTGCTATTCCCCAACTCCAGGACTATGTTTCCCAGTCTTTTCCTTGTTAGCATACACTACAAACCTGGGCCAAGAGTAAGTGTTCCATAAATATTTGCTGATTGGTTGACAAGTCAATTATTCATCTTTTTCTAATATAATTGTGTATATTAAAAAATTGCCATCATAAGGCTTTTGTATAAGGAGATGATAGTCCCATTGTATCCTGCCCCATTCTGACCACACCTGGAATATTATGTTCATCTCGGGGTGCCCATTTTAAGGATGACATCTACAAGCTGGAAAATATTGGGGGACCGATGAAAGGGCTCAAGTTCATGACTTAAGAAGGATTGTTTCAGGATATTATACGAAGAGTAGAGAAAAGTTGTCAAGGGGCTCAGATGGTTGCCTTCAAATATATAAAATGCTGTCATGTGGAAGGGGAAGTGATCTCCTTCTCTTTAGCCCTAGAGGACAGAACTGGGAGTAATGGGTAGAAGTTTGGGAGAAGTAAATCAAAACTAGATATAAAGAAAAAGCAGGGACAGTATAGGTAGTGGATAGAATGCTGGGCTTGGAGTCAGAAAGACCTTGATTAAACTCCTGCCTCTGATAGTTACTAGCTGTGTGATCCTGAGCAAGTCACTTAACTTAGCGCCTCAAGCAACTCTATAGGACTCATTTACTAAGTCATGAACTAGTATCATCCTCAGTGGATGGAAGGAGTTTCTATACCAAGTGTTCTCCACACTACCAGATCTTACCCTCATTCACCTAAAAAAACTTGTTAACCACTAGTGTCTCCAATGGATCACCTTGGAAAATAGCAGGCTCCTATTCTTCCAGCGTTGGGCATGCTATAGAGACTACATTTCTGAGGCATGGGATGGGCAACATAGCCACTGAGATTCCTCCTAGTTCTGAAATTTTCTGATGCTGTATATTTGGTCCCCTTGATGATACTTAGGAGCCACAATGGATATCTCGAGGGCTGGGTCTAAAGCCAGAAAGAACTGAATACAAATCTGGCCTTAAATGCTTTAGCTCTGTGACCCTAAGCAAACCACTTAACTTCTATCTGCCTCAGTTTCCTCAACTTAAAATGGGGATTACAAAAGCATCTACTTCCCAGAGATGTTGTGAGAATAAATGAGGTAATATTTGTCAAGTACTTGGCATGGCGCTTGGCATATGTTGTTCAGTTGTTTTAGTCATGTCTGACTCTTCATGACCCCATTTGGGATTTTCTTGGCAGAGATACTGGAGTAGTTTGCCATTTCCTTCTCCAGCTCATTTTACAGATGAGGAAACTGAGGCAAACAGGGTTAAGTGACTTGCATAGGGTCACATAGCTAGTAAGTGTCTGAGGCCAGATTTGAACTCAGGTCTTCCTGACTCCAAGCCCAGAGCTCTATCCACTGAGCCTCCTCACTCCCGCTTGGTACATAGTAGGCACTTCGTAAGTACTTGTTCCTTTCCTCCTATCTGGAGGGTAGAAGAGGTAAAGGATTCAACAACCTTTAGAAAGGCGCTTTAGAAAGGGACTGCCTTTCGTCACAGTTCTTGTTAGTATCTGGAATTTTCAGAAACATTGCCCACTACGGATTCAGAAGAAAGGAGGGCAGGCTCATCCATTTTTATCTCCATGCCTCTGCCTCCAAATCAAAGATGAGAAAAGTTGAATTAGTAGAAAAAGATGGGCTGACATTTAGAGGAAGTGGAAAATTCTACTTACCTGAGCAGCTGGGATGGAAGCACAGATGACATTTAAGTGAACACAGAGACAAACAATGCATTCCAAGTGCCATTAATATCAGGGCCTCACAAAAAGCAGGCTGAGGAGCTAAACTGAAAACAGACAATAGTCATTTCCTGTTGCTTTAAAAAAAAACATAAACAAATAAAAACCAAAATGAGACAAAGACCCAGCGGCAACAATACAATAAACAAAAGAGAGAGGAAATGTGTCTTGTAGACCTGGGAATTCAAATAATCATGAACTAGCCAAGATTCATTCACTGACCACAAACTATCTCTGTGGCTGTCCAATGGCTGGGGGGGGGGGGTCATTATGATGTTTTCTGTCTGAAAGGAGGGGGCAAGTGCTTGGATGCTTTCAGAGATGAAGGAGGAGGATGAACCACACAATTAAGATGAAGTGTATTTGCCATGTGTGTGAGCATCTGGAGAAGTGGAGGCTGGCAGGAATATAAGGGGCTGGCTTTTGGAAAGGCTTTTGCAAGTCACCGACCAACTTCTACTGAGGCTGGCAACTTAGCATGTAGGTCAGCTGTGCTGATGTGCTACGCTGATGCAGCTATCTAGCACAATACGATCACAGCTCTCCAGCTTAACCTCATCAATTATCAAGTCTAACCCCTCAGGTGTAGACAAGGAAACTGAAGCCCAGAGAGCCTTGTTCAAGATTTTTTGTTGTTCAGTCATTTCAGTTGTATCTGACTCTCTGTAACTCCTTTGGGATTTTCTTGGCAAAGATAACGGAGAGGTTTGCCATTTTCTTCTCTGCCTCATTTTACGGATGAGGATACTGAGGCAAACGGGATTAAGTGACTTGTCCAGGGTCACAGAGCTAGTGTCTGAGGCCAGATTTGAACTTAGGAAGATGAGTCGTACTGACTCCGGGCCTGGTGTTCTGTGCACTATGGCGCCACCTAGCTGCCAAGCTTTCAATTCATGGCTTGGTGTTTACAGATTTTGGTGTTCAATGTAAGTGATTCAGGGATTCGTGCCTCCCAAATCCTCTGAAAGTTAGGACAAGCAGACAAGGCATGCTGCAACATTGAAGGAAGTAATTTGCTGCTCCCTCTGTCATATATGTATCTACTTTCCCTAGGTGTGGAATAAACCATGATTAAACTGCCCTACCTAAGCCTTTCATTGTGAGTAAAAAGTGAGAATTACTTAATGGTGAAGTAACACTTGGTAGAGTATGTGTGGACCATTGTAAGAATTTTCCTGAGGCAAAATGGTAAAGCAAGAATTTGATCCTGTTGGTAATTACTGTCCTCAAGGAGAAAGAGCATAGAAGTTGAAGGATGGGTCATGCTAATCTCTCAGAGAAGAATTATTTCCTATGGGTTCCTTTTGTCTTTCAGACTGTCTTCCTCCTACTCGAATACTTCCTACCTGTGGTATGAGTTTAAATTCTCTCTCCCACATCCAGAACAATGTTTGGAAAAGGGGCCCAGCTCCTAGAACTCTCCCTTTCTTCCCATGCCTTGGTGCTCAAATCTGTACGGCTGTGCTTCTAACACTGGTGATAGGGTGCCTTCATGGGTCCCCCAATACTCCAAGGTCCGCTTGGGGAGCAGAAATAGCTATGCAGCCTACTTTGGGCTCAGTTAGGGGAGGCTCTCACAGAGTAACAAAACTTTTCTCTTTTAGAAAGCGGACCTAAGGAAAAAAGTCATCCTGTTGGGCTGGGAGAAAAGAGGGAGAGATTCCATGGATTCAACTGTTTCACATCTGCCCCTTTGCCCTAGAGAAAAGAAAAGAGATCATAGATTGAGAGGTGGAATATACCTCAGCGCACCTTTCATCCTACTCCCAGATGAGACCAGAGAAGTTGAATGACCTGCCCAAGATTTTGAAAGAGTAATCTCATCCAACTTTATATGAATGAGGAAGCTGAAATCTAGCTTGGGAAATGTAATTTTCTAAAGGCACAGAGATACTGAATGGCAAAATGAGGAAAAGAACACAGGCTTCTTGACTGCTTGTCTAGCATTCTTTCCACAATGTAATTCTATCTCCCTCCAAATTCCATATGAAAGATAACTAAAATGTACTCAAATACTAAAATGGCCCCATGGTCTCATATATGTGGGCACTGCTTCTTATGGGATAGCTCACAGAACAGTCATCCTTTCTCATTATGTGCTTCTCTTCTCTGTATCATTCCATTAATCTTTTTTTTTTTTTTTTGCCTTTTTGATGAGGCAATAGGGGTTAAGTGACTTGCCCAGGGTCACACAGCTAGTAAGTTTCATGTGTCTGAGGCAGGATTTGAATTCAGGTCCTCCTGACTCCAAGGCTGGAGCTTATCCACTGTATCACCTAACCGCCCCACATTCCATTAATCTTGCAGAAGGGGGATGCCCACTTGGCTGGGAGTCTTTCTTGGTTTCTTTTACTATCAGCAGTCAGTAGGGCACATGGACTATTATCTGAAGTTACTCTGTGACTAGGCTATCTTATTTTTGCTCAGATATATAAAGGACGATGACTTTTAAAATACTTCAACTCCTTAATTCCTTGCTTATACCCATATCCACCATACATCTTTACATGGCCTTCTGTGTGATACTAATTTAATTAATTCAAATATACATACATAACTCTAGTAACACATCTCAGTTGGACTATATTCAAACTCATGACTCTAAGTCCCTTTTGTAAGAAGTTCTGGTTTCTAAAAATAAGTGGGAAAAGTCACTATCTTAATTTTGAAAAAAAAAAGTTCTTATTTAATGTTTCAATGGATCTCTGGTCTCATCAACGTGGTTCCTCTCTCCCATGGTGTAAGTCAAAGCCCAACCAGGCCTTCTTCTTAACTACTTGACATTCCATGGGTACCAATACCAGCTGTTCCTGGATCTCGTTACATGATCATCCCATTTTTTTTCCCTCAGACATTTCATTGATGATATCTTTTACACTTCATGTAGGAAATCCACCATTTAAATATGCCATATACTATTTATGACCACCATATATCTCTCCATTCCTCCCTGGGTCACCCATCACTTCGATCCTTTGGAGATTGTGGTATTTCATGGCTTTATTGGATTCCATGGCACCTGTTTCTCACATCTTATGGACTTAGAGTGTTGGCTAGGAGCAGTGAAAAGTTAGTATGAGCACTTGTAATATTAAAAAGATGGGATTTTACTTTCAATGAGAAGTCTGGGGATGCTAAAATAGTTCTATGAATTCTCAAATGGTATTTAGGCCTCTTTCTTCCTCATTCAATTCATTAACCATCCACAGCAACTGTCCAAAGTATCTGACATTGTAGTAAAGTGGATACAAGTTGGACTCAGAGTCATGAAGAGTCCCACCTTGACATATATTGGCTGTATGACCCTGACAAGTCACTTCCTTGTTTGTATGTGCAATTGGGTGAGGATTGGGAATAAGGAAGGGGAAGGGTTCTAAGCTTAAATAATTCCAAACACAGCTTCTGAAGGAGCTTCTCAAACTAATTAAATCACAGTTTTGGTCAAAATATACGTATATAGAATCAGATCTGTGATTTTTTTGGTGTAGAGGACTTTCTTTATGTAGATAAGTACCTATTTCTCATATCATGTGATCTGGGGTTAGTAAAAGGTTGTTCATGGTCACATGACCACTCATGTCAAAAGTGAGATCTGAACACATGAGTTTCTGATCCCAAGGCCAGCACTGTCTCCAATCCAAAGTTGTTTCTTTTATAAGCAAGAAAATAAATAAATAATTTATAAAATATAATATATATAATATATAAAATATATAAGCAAGAAGGTAAGTTACACCTTCCTCAGTAAGTAGAACTTTAATGTATAATTGCTTCCTACCACTCCCCAATATCTACTCATTTTGTTCTTCCAGATTTTTGTGCTACCAGAGGAGGCAAGGATTTCATAAAGGTATTAAGAAATCCAGTTTCTCCTCCCGTCCAGCCATTCATCGTGAGTTACTTTGTGTTGGTGTCACTGTTCATGTCCTCTCACCCTATTCTACCTCTTGCTCTTGCTCTGGGAACAATAATTGCACAAATAATACTGTCATTGCTAGTGGAAAGAGCATAACATTATGCTGCTTTGGGGCTCCATTCAAAACTCCTTTGCCTGGAACAAAACTCAGTTCTCCACTAATACACATAGACATATGCATGTGTATATATACATATATACATCATAATATGTGCATATACATGTATAATCTATGTATATACATGATCTCCCTATTTGAAAGTAAAGTTCTTGAAGGCATGACTTCTCTCATTTTTGTATTTATAACTCCAGTGCCTGACACTGGCATAACATCTGGCACAGAGGATATGCTTAATAAATGCTGATTGATTGATTTTTACTCACTAGAGTAAATTATCCAGGAACTACAACAGAAATTCTAATATTTAAGCAGCATCTGCCTGTTAAGAAGAGAATGGGTCTTTTCAGTTCATTCAGATGATAGAAGTCAAGAAATCTTTTCAACCTATATATCCCCTCTCTTTCCAATTTTTTAAAACAATTATTGGTTTCTTTTATTTTTATCCTAGCTACATTTCCCAGCATAGTTCTCCCTTACCCCTCCCCCATAATATTATAAGAACAAGAAAAGAAGAAACAAAAAACAGCTCAACAAAATTAGTACACACACCACCTAAGTCCAACATATAATGTAGAGCTCAGGTCTCTCATCATCTGCAAAAAAAAAAAAAAAAAAAAAAAAGAGGGTGGTGCATTCTTACGTAACAGTTCTTCAGGTAAGGCTTATGCTGGTCACCTTGAAAAGGGTCCTAATTCATAAAAGACCCTGGGAGTTGTATTTCTTGGAAGAAATTGTTATATTCATAACAGCCAATTGCAGGGCAAGATTTTGAAAAAGAAGTACAAGATTGCTGTGCTTTCAGACAAGAAATGTGGTAACATGGAAAGATCACTAACCATGGAGTTTGATGTCCTGCCTTCTACAGCTAATTTTCTGTATGAGTTTAGATAAGTCTCTCAACCTTTCTGGATCTCCATTCCTTCCTCTGTTAACAGAGAACTAGCCCTGCTCACTTCCTGTGGGCTCTGGGGCTTAGT